CAAACTCCATTTATCATTTCCTCAATTACAAACATGCTATAAGAATACCTTACATTGCACTGTCCACATCTATATAAATTAAGTCATATTAAATATTATGTTAAAGCAATCAAATGTTATGTCAGTTTTCATAGAGTTAATATCACTGTGTTTACATTTGTTTGGAAGTGTTTGGGATCAAACCCAGGGCTTTGCACCTATTAGGCAGCCACTCTAACACTGACCTACATCAACACACTGTCTCTGGGTACACACTAATGACAACTTTTATTCTTTCTACCTTTTTCCCTTTAATTATTTTTGTCCAGGGATTTATGCATAGCTATTCTTGCAGTCAGATAAACAAATGTCTATTGCTTTAAGCATAGAAGACATATCATAAGATCACCAGGAGACTGAATGTAAAAAAAAAATCAACAAAGACAAAAAATTAATTAATTAATTAATTAAGTCATATAAAAGCACATTCAGAAAATGAAAACTCCATCCTGAACACAACCACCCCATTGTTCTCTAAGTGTTGTGCCTAGGAACAATACCATCTGCCAACTTATTAAAAATCTAATTTCACATCTATACCTAATGAAAAGCAGAAATTCCAAAACTGGGACCCAGAAAACTGTTTTAATAAGCTCTCCTCCAAGTAATTCATATGCACATTAAATTTTGAAAAGCTCCAATTTAATCAAAGCTGTCTAGAAATGCCCTTTACCCATTCCAATACAGATACTTGATCAGCAAATCTTGCTAGTCACAGTAATGTTAAGACATTCCCTTATATAGTCACCTCAAAAGAGGGCACAGAAAAGGGGGCTGAGACTCACCCTCTGAAGAAAAACAAATATTGCCATGTAAATGATGACTGACTTCTCAACTGCATCACTGTTACAAAATACAAATATAAGTTCTTTCAATGCCAAAAAGTGAAACATCCTAATATTACTCTAAATTTACATATCTACCTTTATAACAATTTAAGGACATGCTCCAACCTCTGTATACTTAGATTCTATATTTCCTTTCCCCCATCCATCAATGCACTCAACAACCTATTACTAATTCTTGCCTTCTATTACTCTTTGCCAAATTATTCTACTGTAAATTAGCTGGACTGGAAATTCCCTGGCAGAGATGAAAATCATCATCAGGTTGAAGAAACTATCCCCAAACCACAAAAACAAATTGTTCATCTCTTCCACAGATTCTTATTTGTGGAGAATTTTCTTCAGGTCATCTGTACAGAAGAACTACCAACCAAATAAAGTTATTTGGATGAAGCTTATACAACAAAGACTACAGTGTCCACTCTCAATTGCATCAAATATTACAAGGTCAAAGAACCTACACATATATACACTACACCTCAACAGATCCTACACTTGTTCCTTTTCTTTCTCACTCAACAGAACACTTTTACTTCCATCAAGTGGAACGGTAGCTCAACTTTCTCAATTGACCCAATATATTGCTATTAGTCAAGATCAAAAATACTATGATAAATCAAAGTTGAATATGCAAAACTGGAAAAATGGCTCAATAAAAGAAAAATCCAGAAAAAAATCCTTGTTTACCTTACTTTTAAATGAATGTTCATTTCTCCATACCCCAAACAACTTTGACACCCTAATTTTTATACAGTTACAATATTTATACTGATATTGTTCATTAGTATACATATATTTATATACATACATAAAACTCATGTAGACTCTAGCAATTGAGATGACTATTTGAGGATAGAGTCTTAATATCTACAACCATCTGTGCTAGATTTTTAAACAGGTTTTTTCTAAATTAACTATTTAATTACCTTATCCTACATTGTCAACTACAGGTAACAAACAATGTATCACTCCTACAATAAAAGGTAAATATTAACATGCCAGTGCATGGCTATAATTCCAGCTACTCAGGAGGCTAAGAAAGGAGAACAACCTTTGAGACTTAGCAAAACTCTGTTAAAAAAAAAAAAGGAAAAGGGCTGGGGATGTAGCTCAGTGGGAAAGCAACTTGGAGTTTAATCCTCAGGAAATCCTCTCCAAAAGGATGCAGGAATTAGTTGAAAGATCATCTAATGGCCAATAATCAAACAATTCAAGCATCAGTATAATTAAAGTATGCAAGTAGTACACAAAATAATGTCTACCTGGGTTCAGCACCCAATATCATAAAACAAGTAAATATAAAAGGATACAATGAGATAAAATACATAACTCAAGAAATTAATATTTAGCAAATCTTTATCTTGTGTGACCAGCATCACCAACAAAATACCAATTTCATTCCCTTAACTACATCACAGTCCAAACTTCTAAGATTCCATACTGCCAAGATACAGAAAAAGACATTAAAAGTAGAACCAGATCGCTGAGGATACAGCTCAGTTAGCCCTTGGTCACATGTCCAAGACCTTAAGTTCAAACCCCAAATTGACTCTGTATATACCTTAAGCATGTGCAAAAGCTATAAATTAACTTTATCTTAAACTATACATAATAAACCATCAATTTTATATTCAACTGGTAAATATAGAAACTACTTCACAGTTACTAGGAAAATGCTTATGAAATGTTCACAGACGTTTGAACCTAAGTGATGCTAGTAAGGGGGTAGGGATACATAGTACCTTCCAAGTCCTTATTCTCCTCAATTTATCACTTGAAACACATAATGGAAAAGAGAAATTTGAAATTTATCAAGACTATGAATATAGAAGCACTCTACAAAAAAAACTATACTAATATAACCACTTTTGTCTACTGAACTGCAAAAAAAAAAAAAAATCTACCAGTCCAGTCCATTCTCCTTTACCAGAAAGTATTGATAAGAAAAACCTTGTGAAATTTACATTTTAAAAACTTACATTCAGAATATTTCTGTCCTAAATCCTTAAAAATGACACTTAGGCTGGACCTCAGAGTAAACATATTGAGCTTCACTTCATCATGCTCAGTAAACATAGCTCATCATAAATCCAGCCAAGGTCTTTACCAAAGTCTCTCTTAAAATCTAACTTTAAAAAGAAATAAAAAGAATGGGACTGGGGTTGTATAGGCCAGGGCTATAATGCATAGTAGCATTTAATAGATCCCATGTTCAAACCCTAGCACAAAAAAAAAAAAATCAAAAAAAATTTAACATATAGAAAGTATCTCTATGCATAGACAGTCCTCTTATCTGGTAAAATGATTGCCTTTACTTGGCAAAGGATATGAAAACAATGTAATAGACTGATGCAGAATTAAGGGGACAATAGTAAGAAACAAAAAAAAAATCAGCAGGCATACAGGCAGAGAGACATACTGACACAAATATGCACACACAAAACAATGTACCTTAAGATTGAGATCTTTTGTTTTGTATAACTAAGTTCACTTTCTCTTCTCCCAACATTACAACCCCAGTACTGGAGAGAGAATACATGGGTGCTTTATCACTGAACAATATCCTGACCATTTTTTCTTTTTATTTTGAGATAGGGTCCTGCCAAATTGCTGAGGCTGGCCTTGAATTCATAATCCTCCTGCTTTGGCCTCCTGAGTACCTGGGATTACAGGTGTGTATCACCATGCTCAATTCTGAATCTAGTGTTTTATAATCAACTTCCATAAGCAAATTGTCCTATAAACTGAAATAGGAATATTCAAATGTCACCACAGACGGATACAGTACCAACAACTGTCTGTTCTCCCCCAATAACTTATTATCAATGAATTTGAAGGCAAAGCATATAAATTAAAACCCCAAAAATATTCCAGATTAAGTATAAATCAATAGTATGAAAGGAGAAAGGTAGATGTCAAAACAAAAACAAAGCAGTTCAAAGAGATGAAGCAAAAGTTCAATAAAACAATTCTGAAGGAGTTCTCAGTCAACTTCTAACATCTCTGATACAAAAGTGTTATGGTAAACTGGCCAACTTTTATTATGGAAATAATAGACCCCATGCTACTACTTTGGATATATATCTCCTAGAAGACATTAATGTGTGATTACAGGAACTGTTTATTTCAACTGTAGAAGTGTTACAGTAGGCAGACAGGTAGATATGAGGCAAGGGTAGATATGGGGAAAGAAATCTGGGATCCACCCCTGCTGGTCATTATGCCTCCTAGGAACCACTCCTTATAGTTCACTCACAGACAGACAATAAATTTTATAGATTCCCAAATTTCTCAATGGAAAGGACAAAGAAAACTGATCTCTGGGCCTGGATGACCCAAGAAAAAACTGCAAATACCCAGTAAAAGCAGTTAATGTCATAACTCCCCAGGGTGAGGGATGGCTCATCCAATAGATCATATGCCTAGAATAAAGGACACCTCTCACATACTCTTTTGTCTTTCTTTTCCAGATGGCTACCCAGATGTCCATACATCAAGACTCACCGCTCAGGTGCAGCATCTTAAAAAATTAACATAAATCTGACCCTCAAGCATTCAAAAAAAAAGCTAATTTTATTTTGCCTAGAAACTTGGCCATAAAATAGAGAGGAGATAAACAAACATGGCCTGAACTTGGAAACATTAACGCTAATACCATGCTTTTTCTGCTGCAACCAAGGAATGTCAAAAGAAGTTCCATATGTTCAGGATTTCATGGTCTTGAGAGACAGTGAGTGAAGACCTCTGTAAATGAACCCAACGATTATGATTTTCTTGAAATTCTACATTCCCATCCATAGCCCAATATGAGAAATAAGAGCCATAAGTGACCCACTCTAAGATGCCTTTAACTACCACAGTAGAGCCCGTCACTCATAACTGGGAAAAGTACAATCAGGTCTTAGATATTCCTGACCACTTTAGTCAGGACCCCTCAATCTCCAGGACCTGTCATCTATAAGAGGTTGAAGGGCTAACAGCTCAATGTTTCATTAACCATATTCCATTAACCATTCAAAATCTCAGACAGGTAAAAGAAGACCTGGGAAGATTCTCAGTTGATCCTGAAAGGCTTACTGAGGAATTACAAAGGTTAAATGTCTCTTTAAACTATACCTGGAGGGACATAAGTATCCCGAATCAGACTCTCAAGCAGAAAGTTGCAATAGGGCATGCTGCAATATGAAGACGGGGCTCATCTGACAAATTGTTAATTTCCCATAGTGGCAACTGATGTTCCTTCACCATAACTCCAGCAGGATTATAACACCACTGAGGAGATACAAAGGAGAAATCACATGGTTCTATTTATATTAGAATATAAAAAACATTCACATCAAATCTGTGAACAGGGGCTGGTGCTGTGGTAGAGTGCTTGCCTTGCATGCATGAGGCCATGGGTTTGATCTTCAGCACCACATATATACACAATGGAATATTACTTAGCAATAAAAGAGAATAAAATCACGGCATTTGCAGGTAAATGGATGGAGTTACAGAAGATAATGTAAGTGAAGTTAGCCAATCCCCAAAAAACCAAATGCTGAATGTTTTCTTTGATATAAGGAAGCTGATTCATAGGATAGGGAGTGGAAGCATGGGAGGAATAGAGGAACTCTAGCATGGGGTTATTAATGAGGGTGGAATGTGATGATCATTATTATTCAAAGTACAGGTATGAAGTCACAAATTGGTGTGAATATACTGTGTATACAACTGGAGATATGAAAAATTGTGCTCTATGTGTGTAATAAGAATTGTAATGCAATCCGCTGTCGTATATAAACAAAACATTTTAAAAAAATTACCTCGTGACTTTCACAGAAGACATATACCACACATCAAATTCATAGCTTATTAGAAAATCAAAGAGCCCCACTGGCTTACAGATGTCAGGTTACTCAAGTATCAGTCAATCCTTTTAGAAACTTGACATCACTTTATAGAGATGGACTTCTTTAAATCCAACTATCCTGTTGTGTATTCTGGGGGACCAAGTGTCTTTTCATTCTTGTAATAAGTGACCTAATATGCATGAGCCAAAATGATTTACAGGGCTCCACATGTTAGCTGATTTGGACATAGTCTAGTTCTCTAATGGAAGTAGATTTGTATAGGAGGGTATCAGAGATGGAAGCTATACAATTTTGTTCCTCCTTCAAAGATATCACTGAGGCAGAGGCAAATTCTTCCAAGAAACTCAGACCAATAGGCGGATTGAAAGCTTTCACCAAGGTTTTGGAGCTAGAAAAAGGCCAAAGGGTCATCATGTACTCAAATTATAGACACTTATTTTGGGTGGTTCACACCCATGTAGTTATTTGGAAAGAATGGGGCTACTTGACTTTAAAATTACCTAATCAAATATGGACCCCAAAACATAAGACTTTGAGAGTTAGTATAGTGCACTTGCCCAAGGAAGCATCAGGAACATGAGAACAAAAATCATGAGGAAGCACAGGGCAATAAAAGTTCATGCATGACCATCTAGAAGAGTACCATTATAGAAGTCCTCATCTCTATCCTCTGTGAAAAGCTGTCCACATCCCAATATACCCAAGAGGGGGAAAAATTGGATGTCACAGGAAATTATGTAACACCTGAACCATGAAGAATGGTACAGAGGGCTGGGGCTGTAGCACAGTGGTAGAGCACTTGCTTAGCATGCATGAGGCACTGGGTTTGATCGTCAGCACCACATAAAAATAAAATAAAGGCATTTTATCCATTTACAACTATAAAAAATTTTTTAAAAAGAATGGTACAGAGTAAACTAATCTACATTCCTTAGTCCATCCAATAGAAGTTTATAAAAGGCTTATATGATACCTGCCATTTATGCCAAGAAAGTCTCTACCAAATATGTAAGAGATTATTCACAGGCAAAGAACTCTCTTTAGAACATATGAGTTTGATGGTCATGCCACCTTTGCAACCAAAATAACCCTCAGGGAACTAGGCTTCACCTCCTACTTTAGCCCATGCAATGCCAAGGCACATGCCCAGCAGAAGACCAGAAACCAAATTTCACTCATCTACACACTTCCAAAGGCTATAAATTTCTACTGGTTTTTATAGACAACTTCACAAAAATGAGTAAAATTCTTTCCTGTGAAGACAAATTGATCCCTGAAGTATAAAATCCTTACTAAAGGAGACCATCCCCAGGTTTAAGCTAATTTGATCTCTCCAAAGAGACAATGGATCCTCCTTCATCTCTCAGATTACTCAGCAGATGATAAAGATCCTAAGAATTAAATATTTCCACCATTCTTACCAGAGATATTATTCAGGAGAAGCAGAATGGGCTAGTCTTACCATAAACTGTACTCTGAGAAATCTTTGCCAAGAAACCTCGTTACCATGGTTGGAGCTTCTTCCTACAGCCCTTACATGGGTTGATTAGCTCCAAAAACTCACCTTCAGATTAGGTCCTTTTGAGATGCTATACTTATAAGGGCTGGCCTAATCCAATATATAACCTCTATAAGAAAGTTAGCAGACAAGGGCCTGGCTTTAATCCCCAGCACCACAATAAATAAGTAAATAAATAAATAAATAAAAATAATAGAGTTAACACGGCTGGGGTTGTGGCTTATTAGTAGAGTGCTTGCTTATCATACACAAGGCACTGTGTTCAATCCTCAGCATCACATAAAAATAAAGATAATTGTTTCCACCAAAAACTAAAAAATAAATAATTTTTAAAAAAGAAAGAAAGTTAACAGGCAATATACACCTATGGATGAGAAAGTGAAGGATGAGGTCAAAGAGATATTCCCTCTTTATAAGCCCAGACTTGGAAATAAGGATTCCCAGCAGATCCCTGATAAAAGAGCTATTTTACTCTTTTCCTCCCTAACCTCACAGTGGAGAAGGTGCCTGAGATTTGCTAGCTAGATTCACCACACACCCAGATGAAGCCCTAGAACTCGGTGCTTCAAAAATCAAGATTCTTGAAGCCTACTTGTAGTTGTGAGCCCATAATGGACCTAAAGTTACTTTTCAAAAGGATGACAGGTAAATAGATCCCTCATGGACTCAGAGGCCCCATGGCTTCTCATCTTCCCAGTTCTGGACATCTTCCTTGTTAACTTCATAGTTCTTTGCCTCTGCTATCTTCCTTGTGGACTAAAACCATTTTTGTTCAATATGCCTCCTACACTACTGATCTTAGTTCATTCTTAGCTTCATCCTACTCCCAGAAATGTCCTAATATACTTGCCTGCTATTGTCAAGCAGAGCTAAAAAGTTGCTAAAGACTGCCAAATCCACCTATGCCTGTGATTTCTTGCAATGCACAGACCCTTTCCTCCAAGAGAGGAGAACAACCCATCCCACTGACCCTTTTTGACTGGGCTTAGAACAAGACACTGTTGTCCCATACCTGCTATTTCAACACAACAATCTTTAACTAACTTCTCCCCAGAGGACAGGTAACTTAGTCAGTATCTTTCCTCTATCTTTTTAAGAACTCAGTAGTTTTAGGGCCATAATTGATCTCTATGATACTCATAGCCAGACCCCTTTGCAATCAATCGTCCTAATCCATACAGACTCCAGTGGGAAGATTTCTTATAAACCAATGTGTCTTGACTATCAATATCACTGATTCCCTGAAAATATTTCACCTTCACTGAGGATTATAAACAATTTGCTTTGGAACAGCACCCAAAATTTTCAATGGCTAGCCCTTTGTACTGGGGAATAGGACCCAATTCTGTGACAGGCCACCCAGTGGATGAGCTGGTGGTACCCCATGGCTTCAACTGTATTCCATGATAAATGATAAGACGACTCCTCCTATACACTTTAAAATGCTTGATTTCCATTTTTTAACCCAAAAACATAAAAATTCCCAAGAAAACACTAAAATATTATGACAAGGCACTGTACAAAACTAGGGCTGGTTGGGCTGGGGTTGTGGCTCAGAGGTACAGTGCTTGCCTAGAACACATGAGGCACTGGGTTTGATCCTCAGTACCACATAAAAATAGAATGGGGGTTACTGTGTTCACCCAAAACCAGAACAAATAGCAAAGAAAAAAAACTAGGGCTGGTAATACTAATTAATTTTAGGATATTAGATATCAGGCAGGCATGACTTCTTACCACAGATATTTCACTATAAGGAAGTAACCATAAAATATGTAAACATTCATTTTCTAACAAACATTTTAGCAGTCATTCTTCATTCATTCACTAAAATTTTTCTTATACAACTATTTTATAATGGTGTTTGGACATGAGGATCAATCACAGGCCACCAAAGAAGAAAAACACACAAATTATCCTAAAACACCAACAGGATCCATGTGAAGCCTTTTAATATACTTACTGTGATCCACAATATATGCTCGACAAATATTATTCTTTCATTCCTGGACATCATTTAGAACCCTAGGACTTTAGTACTCTTTGTTTTCAATAGTTGATAGTTTCATTTGTACACATCCTTACTTCCATCTCACCAGATGCCTGCTATCTTCTGTGATCCAAGATGTTTCCCTTTAGCTTTCAACAACATACAAAGTTCAGAAAAAAAGAATTACCTCAGAATATCAATGAAAATAAAAGACATTTGAAGAAATGGCAAAGTTCTATACTAGAAAAGGCATATCTATATGTTCTAAGTTTTTACAAAAAGCCAAGTTTTTTTCAAGAATAATGTGCTCTGTAAAGTCTAGTGAGGCACACTGACTAGATTTCAGAGTGTCAATTTAAGCTCAAATCTTGAAATCATCATATTCAGACAAGGTCCTGTGTCATCATGAACCTAGCCAAGGCCTCACAATATACTCTTATTTCTACTGATAAGGTTATATTACCTTGAAGGGTTTATGTTTCTGTCTTAAGTGCAGCTAATGTGGTTTTCAGTGTCAATTTCAGATCCAATCACTGAGTAGGATCCACACTGATGACACACCATGAAATTCAGTGACCAAATTCTTCCCAAAATTCAGTAGCCAAATCCTCTCTTCCCTTCAGTTATCAACTAAGTTGACAAAAGGATATCATAAAAGCCTGAAAAAGTTTCAACATACAAATAACACATGAGACTCAGATTTCATTCTCCTACCACAAAAAAATTAAATAATCATGATAATATGCCTTGCTTTATTTCAGAATATTCACATACTGAGATTATGTGTACAAACAGGACCAAGGGAACTAATATGCAATTATGAGTAAGACAGTAAGATCAAATAGATAACAAGCACTTTAAATTTTCACCCATTATATAAGTAATGGCTGTAACCTACTGCTTGTTGAAATTCAATAAAGATAATAGTTGAGGTTAACATACTAACAACAGTGTATTGTTTTCTTTTTGGGGGGTGGCGGGAGGTGCCAGGGATTGAATTCAAGGGCACTCAACCACTGAGCCACATACACAGACCTTTTTTGTATTTTATTTAGAGACAGTGTGTCAATGAGTTGCTTAGCACCTCACTGTTGCTGAGGCTGGCTTTGAAGTTGCTGTCGTCCTGCTTGAGCTCCCAAGCTTTTGGGATTATAGGCATGAGCCACCACACCTGGCACTGTATTTTCTAATCTTTGAAACAAGATGTTCAAAGTATACTCATTGACATGTATGACTAAAAATAATAAAAATACCAAAAGATGATTGTGAAAATTCCAAATAACACTATTATCATATTGTACATAAATCAGTTCCCATCTTAATAGTGTATTATAAGGAATAACCTCTAACAAACCAAATCCCCAATGCATACACTTCTGACTTCTAAAATCTGACATGATGTAAAAAATGAACTAATGAGTTTAAGAAAGTAGAGGGTTCCCGGGCTGGGGATGTGGCTCAAGCGGTAACGCGCTTGCCTGGCATGTGCTGGGCGCTGGGTTCGATCCTCAGCACCACATACAAATAAAATAAAGATGTTGTGTCCACCGAAAACTGAAAAATAAATGTTAAAAAAAAAATCTCTCTCTCTCTCTCTTAAAAAAAAAAAAAAGAAAGTAGAGGGTTCCCAAGGTAACTCTCAAAACTCTTTAAGGAGCAATTCAAATGACCTATGAATATATTATACCATAAACACTACATAACCAACTTTAACACAGCAGTTAAAAGTAATACCCCAGAATTCTATTTCAAACTAATATTCAAACCACTATGAAAAAACTTATCAAACATTATATACAACTTTAATCTATGGAGTCATTAGTAACCATGCAAATCAGGATACCAGAAAATTATTGTCTACTTATTTCAGATGTGACATAAATTCACTTGAATATCAGAATGTAGGATGATTTCTTTGTTTTTGTTTTGAATTGAAGCCAGGGGTGCTCTATCATTGAACTCTATCCTCATTATCAGCCCCATTGTTTTGTTTTTGCTGAGACAGCATGTGGCTAAGTTACTGCAGCTGGCCTAGAACTTGAAGTCCACAGGCATGCACCACCATATCTGGCAATGATTTATAAGTATTTATTAACAAGGATGTTTGAAGACTGATGTCAATATATGTCCCTAATGGAACTCTAAAGAAGCATAGATCTGGCAGTATAAAGCAAAATATTGATATATTTATCTAAATCCACTCAAGTATATGAAAATATTATGTCCCAAGTCATCTTCTAGTATATAACCTACAAATAGGGGTCTTGAAAAGTCCAAGAAACTTCAGGCAAAAATGAGTAGTATTCTCACAATCCAAAATAACTATCAGAAGTAAGCATATTACAGAGCTGGGGTTGTAGCTCAGCGGTAGAGCACTCACCTAGCACATGTAAGGCACTGGGTCTGATCCTCAGCGTCACATAAAAATAAATAAATAAAACAAATGCATTGTGTCCACTAACAACTAAAAAGAAAGTATTTTAAGAAAAGAAGTAAACATCTTTCAGAAAACAGAAATCTTGAAATTCATCTATAACTTGCAAAAAAGCCATTTCTAGTTAAGGGAATAGCATTAGAAAATAGAAAACCTATCACTCAAAATCTAAATAAGAGGCAAATATCCATACCAGAAGTCCTATGCAAACATGAAATATTTAGCTATAAAATAAAAAGAACTGCATTATAATAAAAAGAATTGCATTATAAATATGTTGGTTTAAAAAACAGATGGTCAGAAAACTTGTTTTCATATCACCCATATACTTCTAAGACCAAAAGTACCTATCATGTTATACACACTGTCTTAACTTAATGCTTGTTAATAAAACAAAATTGCTTTAAAATTTACCAACTCTGAAAAATAGCATCAAAAACCAATATTGCATCTGTTATGAGTTTCTTAATCAATTTAAGATTTCGCCACTTCCTTAGTGGATAGCTAGTGGTAATAAATCCTAGAAACTACCTTTAGTAGGGATAGTCACTTTGATGGTTCCTTTTCCTTGGGTGCACTTGCAAGTACATAATTGAAAGGATAGAACAGAAGACATATGTACAATCAACACTAGAAAAAATTCAATAGAAAAATAATTACAATCAAGGGTTGGGCTCAGTTGTACAGTGCTCGACTAGCACATATGAGGCACTGGGTTCGATCCTCAGCACCACATAAAAAATAAATAAGTAAAATTAAGAAAGCATAATTACAATCAACTTACCATTCTTTATGTAGTTAACACGAATCTCTAATAGCAGTTCACAAGGAATTAGTTTCCTACCATCAATATGGGTAATTCACTCACTACCTATTAAAAATCTTAGCAGCAAAATCACCCCATCTTACTCACTCCTTTTAAAAATGAATTTTTTCACAGCAGATGAGGTAGAGAGGGAAGATGGGAGGGGAGGGGAGGGGGGATAGTAGGGGATAGGAAAGGTAGCAGAATACAACAGTCACTAATATGCCATTATGTAAAAATGTGAGTGTGTGACCGAAAAAAAAAAATAAAATAAAAAAGAATTTTTTCTCCATAACAAACAAGAAGGAGATATTAGGGTATTCCTTAACTATTTAACTTAAAGACAATTTATTTGTCTCCATAATTTAAATACATCACTATTGATATGGTTAGGAATATTGAAATATAAATTTTAGTGTGTAATTTACAAAGTGTCCTTTTTACATTTTAAGTAATACAACTTAATTATCTCAAATTGCAAATTTCTGTCTCCCTATAAGAACAGTCTGCCCTTCATTTAGTATTTTATAAATGAATACTTACATGCAGGTAGACAATGTTTATCTAAGTCAGTTTGAGACATTAGGATCAGATCTTCTATTCTGATTTCAGGACACTGTAAAAATTGATTAACTAAGGTAAATTTCCAAGGAAAGGCTATCTCTTTGTGCTCATTAATTTCAATTATTTGCAACGAGTCCAAGTCAGTGGCACAATTTCCTTCAGTAAATATTATATCCTTACAAGACCTTGCATTCATCTCTACTTTATTTCAGATATTGTGACATAGTAAAGTAAAAAGCAGAAGACTATTTATGAATTCATAACAACTTAAAGCCCCTGTTTCATGAGTTTCCTATCTGCAAATGTTACCAATCAACACTGGTCATGCACAAAGTAGAAGAAAGTCAGAAAGCAGAAACAAATAGCACAATCATTTTACGTTAAAAAGTAATTTGAATAAATTCCTTAATAGGATTCAATACCAGAAAAAATGTTTTCACTCTGACCTCACCAATATAAATAGGCAAAGAAAAAATATACAAGTATCTCATGGTTTAATTGCTCTATGCATTTATTGTCTATTATTAATGCAGAAAGGGGACAAAAAGCTCACAAACAATCTACACAATTCACAAGACGCAGAGCAGGGATAAAGGTGACTTAGATGAATCAACAGTATTTTAGGGTCTTGGTGGACGCATTCCTGGGGGAGGTGGACCTAGAAAACAAAAAATAAAACAAAATTCAATGAAACAGTCAGAAAAATAATATATATACATTCAAAGCCCTGGCTGCCACTCTCAAGCTCCTGTAATCCCAATTCACCTCTAATTCCTGGTGGTGGGGGCCTCATTCCAGGAGGAGGCATGCCTATTGGCGTCCCTCGAGCAGGAGGAAGCCCAATTGGTGGGCCCATAGGTGGTCTCATACCAGGTGGAGGAGCCATGATGCCTACAAAGAAAACAATTCAGAAATAAAGACCTTATAAGTTGGCTCAGGAAAGTTAGACTTCAGCCCAAAGTAATGTTTAAAGAAATGAGCTGGGGAGTCTACGGCAGGGAGCAGGTTGCGCCCAGACGCTCCGCCCCCCGCCGCGGCCCTCGGGCGTCTTTCCGCCCAGCTCGCCGAGCCTTCACCTCCGCGCCGCTGGGGCGGCCTGCGTCCATCCAGCAGCTAGCGACCGTGGGCCATGGCCGCCGCGGGGAGTTCCCGGCTCCTGCGTATCGCCTCCCCAGCCCTGGGTGGCTCGGCCCGCCGCCCACTGCTCCTCGCCGGACCCCATGCGGGGGCCAGCAGCCTGCCGGGGGAAGCCGGGGCCGGGCCTGGGCGGCGGCGCGCGCGGGCAAGCCGGCCGCTGAGCGTGTCGGCGCGGAGCAGCTCAGAAGATAAGATAACAGTCCACTTTATAAACAATGATGGTGTAACATTAACAACCAAAGGAAAAGTTGGTGACTCTCTTCTAGATGTTGTGGTTGAAAATAATCTAGATATTGATGGTTTTGGTGCTTGTGAGGGAACCTTGGCTTGTTCTACTTGTCACCTCATCTTTGAAGATCACATATATGAGAAGTTAGATGCAATCACTGATGAGGAGAATGATATGCTTGATCTGGCTTATGGGCTCACAGACAGATCACGGGTTGGGCTGCCAAATCTGTTTGACCAAATCTATGGACAATATGACTGTTCGAGTACCTGAGGCTGTGGCTGATGCCAGACAATCTATTGATGTGGGCAAGAATTCCTAAAACTACCATAAGAAGAAATATTTTTGTGAAATTTTACCTATTTTTATAATTTTTAACATAATTAAATGAGAACATGGTTGAATGGGTTTATTCTTATGACTAGCTTTACCGTTTTACTTCACCTTGTATAACTACTGAATTTTGTAGTATTAAACATGCGATTTTTACATTGGTTATAAAAATATTAGTCAAATATTAGAAAACAGCTGAGAATGATGAAAATCTTACATAGTTTACCTTATTTGTGATTAGCGACTTAAGCAAAATGTTACTACATAATCTTATGTCTGCTTATTTAGAAGGCAGGTTAAGAAAAGCTATGGCTATGATTACCCCTGCTTGATGTGGGTGAAGGCAGAGATCTAAAATGGCTTGTCCAGGATGATATGACTAACTAGGAAATTTGTACTGGAACCTGCATCTTATTATTTTAAGTTAGTTTTATGTTCAGATTGATACTGGAGAAATTATGAACATCTTACTTTTAGCACTAATTAAATGTAAATGTGTGTGAAGGAATATTTAGTGAATTGCTTAATTTCCAAGATAGCTATTAACTTTATAAATAAATATTTCAAAATTTTATTCAATGAGAAATGTTTAGTATTCAGTTAGACATTATGACACTGTCAAGTTGATGTCTGTTCTGACTAAACCATCTTTTCTATTTCAAGCAAAACAAACTGTCTTAGCAATCTTTCGAAAATAATGTTAATTTATAGGTTGATTCTTAGAATGGAAATCTTGTGAATTAGCCCCTGAGCCAGAAGACATAAGCAGGCTGCTGCATCCCACTGCCCAGGGGGCGCCATTCTTCTCACTTCAACGTCTGCAGCCTGGGTAGCATAGCATATGCTACAGTCCCAGAAATGAAGGAATATCTTACCAATTATATATGGAAGATATTTGTATCCTTATCTTTGCTATAAATAAATTCATTAAAGGTAAAAAAAAAAAAAGAAAGAAATGAGCTGGGTTCAATCCAGAAAGAAAGAGGGAAAAGCAGCAGCCAATGAGGATCAAATAATTTCTTTTTAAATATTGCTCCTGTTTGTCATCTCCAATTCAAAAAGAATTCCTATTCTTTCATTAAAAACTAATTATATACTCCGAAAACCTCTAATTGAGCACTTAGGTTGTATCTGAATCCATTATCTAAGTCAGTTGTTGTTGTTGTCTCAAACTGACTTAGATAATGGCATATGAACTCTCGGAGACACAAATTATTCTTTTTCACAAATCCCATACCTGGTGGTGGGGTTGCTCTGCCTACAGGTGGGGGTGGAGTCCCCCGTCCTGGTGGGTACTGTGTTGGGGCTCCAGCAATGCTGGCAGTAGCAGCAACAGCAGCAGCTGCTACAGTACCTCTTCCTTGTGGAGTCATTACCTGAGAGGGCAGAGCCAGGAAGACAATAAAAATGAGAAGAAACATGCTCACATTTTTAAACACAGAAAATAAATATTAGGTATGTCCTCTTAAATGCTAAATAATTACTGCAATTTTATACTTGTCTCATTCATATTTTATTTTGCAGCACTGGGAATGAAATCCAAGGGCTTACATATGTCAAGTGCATGCTCTACCACTGAGATACATCCCATCCTGAGTTCTGTAGAGGAATTGCTTAGCATGTGTGAGGAACTAGGTTCAATTCTCAGCACTGCATATAAATAAATAAAATAAAGGTCCACCAACAAATAAAAAATATTTTTTTAAAAATCTTGGTATTATGACATATCAAAGCAGCTATTCGTCTCTTTTTTCCAAATCTGACATGTACATTCGTATTTTTCTGAATAAGCAAATAATAGTTTTACTCCTAACAAGGTGGCTTTAAATACCGAGTAACCATTTTAAGTAACTAGTTTTATTACCTTGCTTTTATATTTATCTCCCTGCTTATTCTATAACATATACTGCTTAAACAAATACACATTTTTAAATATCCTCAATCCAGGGATTTACTCACATTTCCCCATTAAGCTAAAACCCTTTCCTTGTTACCCACCTGCTGGGATGGACCTCCAACTCCTCTGACAGGGCCTGCTAATCCAGCAGGAGCCTGGGGAATTGGTACACCAGCTGGTACTCCTCTGCCAGCTGCCCTCCCAACCCCAGGACCTCCTGCAGCTCCAGCAAGTGGCACCCGAGCAATACCAGTCTGAAATAAGAAAATTTATAATGTAGAACTGAATGACTTACTCAAGTTCTCAGCACTTTTATACAAAAATCAGTTTTACCCACTATGTTCCCAGGCCACCAACCTAACATTAATTTCAGCACTCAAATGGAAAAAATGAGTATATATACCATGGAGATAATTCTCCACATATATATTTTTCAAATTGTTAGGACACATACCATGTGGAAATAAATCGACAACTCCCATGATTACCTAGGTAACCCAGCACATAAAGTAACCCATCAGACAACTTTTAATTCATAAAAGTTCAAATATTAGCTAGCATCAAGTTCTGAACACATTTGACAAAAGTATACTATATTGTGCTTCCCTGGTCCCCCTATTTCAGCCATCTCAAAGAATACAATATTCTCCCACATTTAAATTATTTGCTTTTATATACTAATTAAGAATAAAACAACAAAAAATTACTTTCAAAGACAAAATTTTAAAGAGCTCTGTCCTGCCTGCATCTTCCTTACATCTTTAGGGGGTGGTCCCTCCACAGTCATGGATACCAAGTTCTCCCCACGCAGCAACACCAGACCTAAAACCCGCTTTTCTTCACGCTCTGGCTGCTTTGCATTCTTTGGCCTATGAATAAGAAGAAATTTTAGTGAGAGAAATTTTAGCAATCCTCAAATTATTCATTAAACACAAGTACTAAATAAGACAAAAACTAATGCCAAGATTCTCACTTAAGTTATTCAGTTTAATCCCCTAAATGAAACATTCAGACTCAATTTACATATATAAATAGCAAAGCTCCTTTCCTATTTTAACTATTGTCCTTTCCAGAATATTTCCTGGTTATTACACAAATATTACAAAAAGTGAATTACTTTTGTAAAATATAGATGGAAATGATGAGACTTAGCCTTTTAAGGTAGGCAAAAGTTTCAACTCTATTTCCACATTAAAATGGAAAATAGGGCTGGGGTAGTCGCTCAGTGGTACTTACCTAGCATGTGTGAGGTACTGGGTTTGATCCTCAGCACCACATAAAAATAAATAAATAAAATAAATGTCTATCAACAACTAAGAAAACATTGAAGAAATGGAAAATAAATTTTTAAAATCACTTTTAACTAAATAAATCTTGAATACAAAACTGAAATAAAAGAAATAGTAAAGAGAGAAGGGATACCAAATGGTATTCGTAACACAATTCCCCAACCATAGACAATTATTTTCTCTCCTTCAATGTAAGACTGTCACAGAGGACAGTCAATTAATACTTCTAATTTTTTGAAATACATAATTTGATATTTCAATCATATTGTGCTGTTTTATTCTCAGTAATGCATGATTGTTTTTGCAAATTTACACTAATACATTGGATGTAATGCCTTTAAAGCTCTAACCCAAGTCAGACATGACATTAAGAGATTAGACAATAGACTGGCCCTGCTATAGTTTCTCTACATGAAAGTCACCCTTTATAAACTCTACTTTAGCTCTGCCCTTGGATTTTCACTGCTTTTGCTTCCAACTGTTACCCAATCCTCAGACTTACTTGATTTTCCTGAACTCATCACAATCACAGAGGATCAAATTCATATGCTTGTCAAAAGCCTTAAAGGTGCCAATGAAGATTCGGCCGTCTTGCAGGATACATCTCATTCTATAGTCAATGTGCTGCAGCATCTTGCTACTCTTGCCCACAGTCTGGAATTATTAAAAGGAATGTCAATAGTCAATTTTTCATTTCTTGCCTGCTCCCATATCAATCCAAATCTGGTTTCCTTAACAAGTCCTCTTCCATGCCTTTTCTGCAACATTTCTTCTCTCTCACTAAATATACTAGACCAAATTTTGACCCAGGACCACTAGATTCTTCTAAGAAAACCTTTACTTCTTAAAATTTTAGGCAGTTTTCCCATCATTACTCATTATATTTTTTTCTGAAATCCCTCAGCTCACAGTTGGTTACCTTTTAGAACTATAATCTCTCTTCCCTTCCCAAATACTACCTTTTTTCTAATCATTTGATTTTATAAACTGTTTGTTTTACCCTGAACAAATCTGTACCTAAAATAAAACTACAAATCCCATCAACCTAACTAAAGCATAATGCATGGTATTTCTTAGCTTTGTAAAGACATTCAGATCCATAACACCTACAACAATATTCAGAACTTCCAAATTCTTGTTTCTCCACATTTTCTTTCGTTTTTGTTCCCCTACAGCACCATTTTAGATATTTATCACAGTAACCCTCCCATGTGAGATTTTAATATAGAGTCATGATCTCCCTATATTTTAATATAATGTGGTATTATAAAGCAATATAGAATGTTATTTTTTTTGATACGTCAAGAACCAATTTTGATACTCTTGGAGAATGCATGCTCTATATTTTCAGAATCATGCAATTTTTATTAGGATACTCTATCCAGATAATTTTCATCTATATTAACCAACTGATTCTTTTGTCCCAGCAACTTGAAAGGCCGAGGCAGAATGACAGCAATTTTAAGGCCAGCCTCAGCAATTTAGCCAGACAGTCTTTAAGACAAAAAAAGTTAAAAAAAAATTAATGGGCTGGTGATAGCTCAGTAGTGGAGCACCCCTGAGATCAATCTCTATACTTAAAAAAAAGGAGAAAAAACTTTCCTAAGTAGTCTGTAAGTCTTCAGAAATTAAGAGTCACCAATGGGCAAGATGATTCCTTAAAACAGCAATGATCACCAAAAACTACTTCTGTATTTTCTTACATCATAAGTTATCTTTCTCTTTTCAGCATGATTTGTATAACTTGTACAACCAACCGATAATAGGAACCAGACATTTCTCATCTCCAGTTTTTATTTAATACAAGACTACGTATCTATGGATATATTCTCTTTCCTAACTTTTAAAACCCAAAGCTCCTCACACCTTGGGAAACTATTATTTTGGGCCCTTATAGCATCTTACCACTCCTGTACTTTAATGAACATCTTACCATGATTGCTGTTCCACCAAAGCCGATGTCAAAAATAAAATCTGGGGATCCTTAATACCTAAGGGAAGGCTTGGTACAGATAAAGGTATGATGAAGGTTCTCTTATAAACAATGCAAGCTGGGCAGAAGCTTCATAAATAGGAGACAGAGCCTGCAGAGGAAAGCATGTTATAGCTGCACTGCAATATATCATATTTTAAACAAGTTAATTCTGCACTAAAATCACTGCAACACACATTCAAAACATCCCTCCTCTCACGCTGCCATAGCAAGAGTCTAACAAATTTCAGTATTCCCTCATCTTAACTCCCACATTTGACACACCTAGAGAAATAAAACTCATTTATTTTACCTTCTAATTCTTAAATGTCCCACGTAAGCATGAATTCCCAATTCCAAAATTTACATCAATATCTCAATTATTCCTGAATTTAGTCAATTTTCAACTGCAAGGTTCTCTTTCTTTCCCCTAAATCCTGTTCAAAATGATATTAGGTAATCTTTCTTCACCAAATAATATGAATCTGCTTAAGACTTCCTATGTAGTCAGTTATAGCCAGTACAGTACAGGGTCTCAAACTATTGACCATAATAATTGCAAAGTAAAACAGCAGCTTCACATCAGATGATAGATGAGTAGTCACTGTGTATCTTCTCAAATGAAAGGACATAAAAGCAAAGTAAACCACCTAAGATCAATCATCATAGCAAGGTCAAACTTTTGTAAAATACAGACTTTGAAATGATCATAAACTTGAGACTCTCTACAGAAAAATGTACAAAATATGATTACCAATGACATAACAGGAGAAAATACAAATGGGACATATTCATCTACAAAACAATGTGAATTAAAACCACATGACCAGGGTGCAGTGGAACATGCCTATAATCCCCACAATATGGGAGGCTGAGGTGGGAGGATTGTAGATTTAAATCCAACCTTGGCAACTTATCGAGACCCTACCTCATCATGAAAATAAATAAATAATGAATGAATGAATAAATAAATAAATAGATGGCAAGCATACAAATGCAAAAATATTTCCTTCAAAACTTTTATTTAATGACAAAAATACCCAAAGGAAGTATGAGAACCTAAGTATGTTTTCATGTTACTAAACGTTTCCTCAGATGCCCTTAGAAAGTGATAACATAAAATTTAGGAATCGTACTACAAAAAAAAAATAGTTTAAAGAAGAAATAAAATTTTCACTAAATTTATACTCTATGCTCTGCACTAGGATAATTTATGTTATCACACATTGAGATGCCAAAAATGTACCTGTGGTCAGACATAGTAGCACAAGCCTGTAATCCAAGCTACTCCAGAGGCTGAGGAATAAGGAAAATTAGAGGTCAGCCTGAATATTTCAGGTACACTCCATGTCAGAATTTTGAAAAAAGTACCAGGAACATAACTCAGAGGTAGAGCACTTGTCTGGGTTGAGTCTCTGGGTTCAATCTCCAGTATGCAAAAAATTTTTTAAATAAAATATAAAGTGTGGGTTGGGGATATAGCTCAGTTGGTAGAGTGCTTGCCTTGCATGCACAAGGCCCTGGGTTCAATCCCCAACACCACCAAAAAATTAATTAATTAATTAATTAAAAAAATAAAGGGCTGGGGCTGTAGCTCACTGCCAGTGCACTTGCCTAGCATATGTGAAGCGCTGGGTTTGATCCTCAGCACCACATAAAAATAAACCACATAAAGGCATCCTGTCCATCTACAACTACAAAAAATTTTAAAAATAAAATATAAAGGAACTCCTGGTTGAATAGCTCTCGTCCAAAATGTTTGCTACCAAAAGTCCAAAAGTGTTTCAGATTTCATGTTTTAGACTCTAGAATATTTGCATACACATCTTGAGATACACAGAAGGCAGTAACAAATGTCAAATTCAAATTAATTTGTTTCATATACACCTGGGTAGCCAAAAAAATTGCTAGGTTAAAAAAATTTAATCTGTGGACACCTGCTCATTGAAAAATGCCTTTACTCTGAAGAACAGTTGGGGACAGTGATCAGATTCCAGTATTTATTTACAAGTCCATGTAATTATTACAAAATGTTGGGTATAAAGGATTCAATGAAATGATTTCTCAGAAAAGCTCTCTTCAGATCTCAATTCAAAATGATGGCTATAAACAATCCGTGTTAACTCATGTTGAAGATGTTGAAGAGTAACATTTCAAAAAACAAAAATAAAATCTACAGAGAATTCATCAATAAAACCCTTTTCTTCTAAAGTTTTATTTTCTAAACAAAAACTAAATAACTGAGCATGTATGTGTGCATGTTTGAATGTACAAGTAAATCCTAGGAATTTGGGCATTGTAATGTTGAAACAGAAAATAATTGCAAAATAAAACAGAATACTAAATCAAAATCAAACTTGGAATGTCTTTTTTCCTATTAAAAAAGTGAGCAAGGGCTGGAGCTATGGCTCAGCAGTAGAGCACTCATCTCACATGTGTGAGGTCCTAGGTTCGATCCTCAGCACCGAATAAATAAAAATAAAGATACTGTGTTCACCTACAACTAAAAAAATTAAATTTAAATTTAAAAAAAGTGAGCAACCAACAAAAATACAAACTAAATAAATATTCACTACATTGAAAAATTATGGATAGTATCTTTATTACATTGCTGATTCCAAGAGGAAATACATTAGAGAAAACATGAAAGTGAGAAAAAGACAATAAAAAATAAATAATTAGGGGGACTGGGGTTATGGCTCAGCGGTAGAGCGCTCGCCTAGCATGTGCAAGGCCCTGGGTTCGATCCTCAGCACCACATAAAAATAAAATAAAGACATTGTGTCCAACTACAACTAAAAATATATATTAAAAAAAGAACTATAATTGAAAAATAAAAAATTAGTAAATAAGCATAGGAAAATACTTAGATTCTCTTAACACTCATTGCTAATGAATGTGTGATGCATTTACAACTTTCATTTATGCCAAAATTGGTCAAAGTGAAAAGTGACATACTACATTTGGAAGGTTAAGAAATTAAAACAGTAAATACTTTAAAACTAGACACACACACAAAAATGAAGTCTATCACAAAATGTAATTATAAAACATTCACTAGGGGCTGAGGCTGTGGCTCAGTGGTAGCACACTTGCCTGGCATGTGTGAGGCACTGTGTTCGATTCTCAGCACCACATATAATAAATAAAGGTCTACTGACAACTAAAACATGAATAAATAAAACATTCACTAAGATATTTAATGCCCATTCATAAAAATTTTTCATATAAAGTTGATAATCAATGCAAAATAAAATATGAATAAAACTTTCTAAAAAGCATGCACTATGAAATGTTTGGAAGTGACACAAAAACATGTCAAAATATCAGGGGAGGGACATTAAGTTCAGACTTCTATTGTTTTAAATGTCATACAATGTGCTTATTTTATGACACTGATCATTACAGTATCAGCTCTAACCTGTTTTTTTTGTTGTTGTTGTTGTTTGATTCTCTTGAAATCAGCTAGCTTGATGTTCCAGTATTGCTTTAACCACCTCTTGGTGTCTCAGCTAAGAAGGCCTGTCTCAGTTCCGCCTGAAAATCCACCACAGGTACTTGTTGCTGCTGAGAACGCCTTGGGTACAACTGACACCTATTAAAAGAATACAATATATATATATATATATATATATATATATATATATATATATATATATATATATATATTTTGTATCTATATATTTATATTCATATATATTATATCTATATTTATATGTATATATATATATATACATACACACACATATAAATATAAATACACACATACAAGATACATCTTATTAATAAGATTTTTGTCCATGTGCAATTATATGAAATAAAACACAAAGACCCTTAAACTTACGAAGGTTCTCCTTTATGTTCAGAATAGACCATTTTTACCTAGTAAGTTAACTATTAACACAAAACACAAAATCTTGACACATAAGTATGTGCAAGAAACTAGCAGATACTTACCCAATCTGGAAATATTTTCAAAGAACTATAAAACTAAGAACTATTACTCCTGTAGAAATACTATTAGTACCATATCCATCATTCAATTTCCAATTATCCTAAAATGCTTACTCCCCTGCAATAGAGTGAGGGTATTTGCTCAGCATACATTAATGATGCATAAAGGCTGTCTCATCTGAAGCATTTTCTTCATAAATAAATACCTAATAACTTGCAGAGTCCATGAGATTTGAGGGCTTTCAAACTATGTGATTCAACCATCTGTATTAGTAAGCAGGGAATTCTATAAGAAAACCCTCCACATACCCTGTGGGTCAGTAACCTTGCTGTGAATCTAATAAGAAAGAGATGGCCATGGTGGTACAGTCCTATAATCCCAACTCTAGAGGTCAAGATAGGAGGACCACAAAATGAAGCCCAGTATCAACAGCTTAGCAAAGCCCACAATAAACATCAAAAACAAAGGAGATGCAGCACAGTGGTAAAGTACTCTAGGTTCGATCCTCAGCATGTGCACATGCTTGTTGTCTCTCTCTCTCTCTCTCTCTCTCTCTCTCTCTCTCTCACACACACACACACACACACACATACACACACACACACACAATAAATAAAGGAAATTATAGTTTGCTGATCAACAGGAAAGGTCTGCTATTGATATTAGCAATTTTACCCTGTTGGTAAGGGGAAAAATGATAAAATATATTTGAAAATATTTAATAGCACTGGATTTGGAAATGAGACTGGTACAAGTTTCCACTTTTTTTCTATAGATTTTCCATTGTGTGTTAAACATACTGTTAAATAATAAAGAATTTAAGCCAGGTGCCATGGCATAGACATGTAATTCCAGCGACTTAGGGAGGATGAGAATCATAAGCTCAAGACTAGACAGAGAAGTACCTTGGCAAGACCCTCAGCAACTTGGGATAAATAATAAAAAGGACTAAGGATTTAATTCAGTGGAAAAGAGACCCTCGATTCAATCCCCAGCCCATACATACATACATACATAAAATTAGCTGGCCTCTGTCCCAGGTTATCAGGAAGTCACATCTAACTCCTTGGAATTTACAAAAAGATAGAAATATCTTTATTGTTCTTGGTTTATGCTAGTGAGATAATTCAGATTGGGATATGGCCAGGCCCAAGAAAAAAACAAACAAATATTAAAGAGAAGGCTTCGGAACCTGACTTCCTAAAGACTGATTTCAATCACATGACCAATGTTTCAGTTAATTTTGTCTACATAATGAAACCCCAACACAACAGTGGATTTCTGAAGTTCTGTTATGTTTTCTAATGGGTTTTATCTACTAACATACAGAGTACATCCTGAAAGAATGTAGCTTTATGTTTGAGACCCTCTCAGACCTTGACCTACATTCATTTGTAAGTTTTATAAATCTTGTACTAAGTTGTAGTGTTTGCCTAGCATGCATAAGGCTCTGGGGTTAAATCCCCATAACATTTTTTACAAAATCACACAGATATACCTATAAAGAATATGTACACATATATAGAGAGAGGTATTTGTGTGTTATGTTTTATTTTTAAGTTCTGAGCCATTTTCCCAAATAATCAAATCTGAAAGCACACTGGGAATCACAGATTCACAAGCTAGCTGGATCAGATGTATCATGGCATGGGAACCCTGCAGCTTGTGGGCTAATGTGTGAATTAAGGACAATCAAATGGAGAGAATATTAATATCTGTGAAGTGTGCAATAATTCAAGTTAGTTGGCCTCAGTTACATTTAAATTTTCCTACCCCAATCACCAAATAATAAAATCTACTCTACCAGTGCTGGGAGATGCATGTTAGGCAAGCATTTTATCACTGAGCTATATGCCCAGGGCCTTATACATGTTAGGCAAGCATTTTATCACTGAGCTATATGCCCAGGTCTGAATAATAAATAATCTAAGTATTCCTCATTTCAATCTCACTGTTGCCAAACAGCAACCAGTTCTCTGACCTAACAAAGTCCTAAAACTGTTGCAGGAAGAAGGAAAAAAAAAAACAACTTTGCTTCTTGAAACTTGAATTAAGAGAATTTCCTATTAAGTATCCTCCTTGGTTAACTCTGGGAGCCTAAAGACAACTGAGGTTAAGAATGAGAAAACAAAGGGCTGGGGATGTGGCTCAAGTGGTAGCGCGCTCGCCTGGCATGCGTGCAGCCCGGGTTCAATCCTCAGCACCACATACAAACAAAGATGTTGGGTCCACCGAAAACTAAAAAAAAATAAATATTAAAAATTCTCTCCCTCTTTAAAAAAAAAAAGAATGAGAAAACAAGATGCAGGCTATATAGCATTACACATCACAAAAAGCAGAATATTAATCAGGAAATACATTTGAAGGTATACCTAAAATAGATAGATGACTCTCCAACCCTAATTACCCTTAAACTGAAAATATATCAACCAACAGGGAAGATATTATCCCAAGAACAAGAGATGATGTGGTGACATATCTAATGAAAGACAAAATTACCATCAATTCCACGAGTGGAACAAAAGTCAGCACAGTTCTATTCATACTCATTAGTTTGTGTCTTGTGCTATTTTTATTTAGTTTTGTATTGAACTTTCTAGAATGAATAAAATGATAATTATTTAGGGCTGGAATCAATAGAATCCCTCTAGGCAGAATGGACTCCCATCTTTATTGTTTGGGAGAAGGTAGGATATTAATTGGATAAATATCAATGAAGATTCAGTTTAATAAAATATACAAGTACCTGGCTTATGAAATTTTGAGCTTATATATAAACCATGATACAAGTTCTATTAATCCTACATTTAGACACAGGGTCTCTGGTTTAATTCCTAGGTCCTTGATCCATTTTGAGTTGAGTTTTGTGCATGGTGAGAGATAGGGATTTCATTTCATTTTGTTGCATATGAACTTCCAGTTTTCCCAGCACCATTTGTTGAAAAGGCTTTCTTTTCTCTAATGTATGTTTTTGGCACCTTTGTCAAATATAAGATAATTGTAATTTTGTGGGTTAGTCTCTGTACCATTGGTCTATCAGTCTGTTTTGGTGCCAATACCAAGCTGTTTTTGTTACTATTGCTCTGTAGTATAGTTTAAGGTCTGGTATAGTGATGCCACCTGCTTTACTCTACTTGCTAAGGATTGCTTTAGCTATTCTGGGTCTCTTATTTTTTCCAGATGAATTTCATGATTGCTTTTTCCATTTCTATGAGGAATGCCATTGGTATTTTGATTAGAATTGCATTAATTCTGTATAGTGCTTTTAGTAGTATGGCCATTTTGATAATATTAATTCTGTCTATCCAAGAGCAAGATAGATCTATCCATCTTCTGAAGTCTTCTTTAATTTCTTTCTTTAGTGTTCTGTAGTTTTCATTGTAGAGGTCTTTCACCTCTTTTGTTGATTCCTAAGAATTTTTTTTTGAGGCTATTGTAAATGGGGTAGTTTCCTTCATTTCCCTTTCAGAGGATTTGTCACTGATGTGACATATATACACAATGGAATTTTACTCTGCAGTAAAAGAGAATAAAATCATGGCATTTGCAGGTAAATGAATGGAGTTAGAGAAGATAATGCTAAGTGAAGTTAGCCAATCCCCAAAAAAAAAAAAAAAACAAATACCAAATGTTTTCAAAAGACTGATTCATAGCGGGGTAGGGAGGGGGAGCATGGAGGAATAGAGGAACTATAGATAAGGCAGAGAGATGGGAGAGGAAGGAAGTGAGTAGAGGATTAGAAACGATGGTGGAATGTGATGGTATTATCCAAAGTACATGTATGAAGACATGAATTGGTGTGAATATGCTTTAATACATCCAGAGATATGAAAAAAATGTGCTCTATATGTGTAATATGGATTGTAATGCATTCCGCTGTCATTCATATATATATATACACACACACACACATATATATATAATAAATCCTACATATATATTTCCATAATCTATTTACTCTAAGAATGAAGAGAACTGGAAAAATTATACAATTTCCCTAACTCAATACTCATCTCAGATCCTGCCCCCAATACAGGAAGGACTATGAAGTTTAATATGTAACATACACAGTATATATCAGAAAAACTCAAGTTATGTTTTCATCAAAATCAAACTGTTTCCACAGATATGAACAAGATGGACAGATAACTGGAGAAGGCCACTTCATCCCAAAACAAGATGAGCATGAGATCACTTGTATTAATCTAGGTTCAGAATGTATAAAATTAAAACTCGTAACAAAACACAACAAACACAATGGAACTCCATTTACTAAAAAGATCCTCCCTCAACAGATGCCCTTCCCCATAAACTCTACCACAAGCTCTCTAAACTCTACTGGACACTATAGGAACATTCAAAACTTTGGAAGTTAAAGGGAGATTTTTATGTTGAAGCATTCCCAGGTGCAGAGAGGCTGAGGTAGAAGAATTGTAAGTTCAAGGCCAGTTTAGGAATGTTAGTGATACTGGTATCAAAATGAAAAAAAAAATATATAAGCCAGGCACAGTGGCACATGCATGTAATTCCAGGGACTTGGGAGCCTGAGGAAGAATAATCCCAAATTCAAGGCCAGCCTCAGAAACTTAGGGATGTTCTAAACAACTTAGCAAGACCCTCTTTCAAAAAATTGTTTAAAAAGGGCTGGGGATGCAGCTCAGTGGTAGAGCACTTGCCTAGCATAAACAAGGCCAAATCCCCAGAAACTCAAAAATAAAAACACACTCAAAAAATGATTTTAATTCCTAAAAATTAGAAGAAATGGGGAAATCTTTATTCTCACCAGTAATTTCAAATGTGCTAATCTTTTGGGCATGGCAGCATACACCTGTAATCCCAGGGATCTGGGAAGCTGAGGCAACAGGATTCCAAGTTTAAGGCCAGGCTCCATGATTTAGTAAGACCCTCAGCAACTTAGCAAGACTCTGTCTCAAAATTTTAAAAATGACGTAGTTCAGTGGTATAGAACCCCTGGGCTCACTTCTCAGTGGCCCTACTAAATAAAAAATAAAATAAAATGTGCAATCCTTTGACAATCTTTCATATATACAATGAATACGTGACAACAATAAGACATTAACTGTTACCTACCTCCTACAATTTAAAAAATACTACAGTTAAGGAAATAAATTATTATACACTGCATTTTAGAATGATTGTTCATATCCTCACCGTTAGAAGCCAAGGAATGCAAACAAAATAAGTATCAAGGGCAAGGGTTGTGGCTCAGAGGTAGAGAGCTCGCCTAACATGCGTGAGGCACTGGGTTCAATCCTCAGCACCACATACAAAAATAAAATAAAGATATTATAAAAAAAAAAAAAACAAAATAAGTATCAAGTAGGTTAATAATTAAAATAACCCTAATCTATAAAATAATATAGAATTACATATATCACTATAGCAAGATCCCCAAGACATACTGTCAGAAAGAAAAGAATCACAAATCGCAATGTATACAAACAGACATATAAGCATGTATAGGATGAATTCTGAAATGACAAATACCAAGTACTTAAAAATTATCTCTGGAGTGGGAAGAGAAATGAATTGATAGTGGTTTTAAGAAGAGACTCTCTAGGCCGGGCAGAGTGGCACATACCTGTAATCCTAGTGACTCAGGAGATTGAGGCAGCAGGATTGCAAGTTTAAAGTCAGCCTCAACAATTTAGTGAGACCCTAAGCAACTCAGTGAGACCCTGTCTCTAAATAAAATATTTCAAAAAGGGCTACGGATGTGGATCAGTGGTTAAGTGTCCCTGGGTTCAATCCTTGGTACCAAAAAAATGAAGAAGAGACTCTCTAGTGCCCCAACACCCTTGTCCTGTTCTAGGACTTAGGGTCTCAGGGACACTAGACAGGTGTTCTATCAATACCTGTTCAATCAATCTCACCATTTTACCGTATCATCTATATTACATTCATGTGTTTTTTTAACTGTTTATTTTTAGTCTCTTCATTCCATGATATTTTTGTTCTAAACTAAAACATGATTCTGACCTCAGTTGGTTCTCAGCCCAGACTGTACTCACTCTTGATTGCTCAGTGAGGCTGTCCTTCTACGTTTGACTTGGACTTCCACTTCTGGCACGTGCTGTTCTGTAGTTCGTCTCAGGTGTAAGCGATCCCTGAAACAGGTAAAAAAGAATTATTTGGTAGACTTCATCAATATATGAAGCAACTCATGATTGACTTATGAAACTGTCCAAAATCCAATTAAAACAAAATAAAACTAAAATATTAGAAGATCTTTACCCTTCAAACAATCAGGATCTTGACTATCACAGACAATCTGGTTTTAAAAGATCAAGAAATGAAAGACATATTCACTTCCATTTATATTTACTCATCTGTACAGAAAAATACTCACACGCATTCAGTAACATATCACCACTACATACTCATTCTTCTGGCCAAAAATAGCAAAGCTATTTCCAAAAGTGGCTTGGGAAGCATATTTTAAAATCATAATAAATAGTATTTTGTATAGTGAAATTATAGAACATTAAGTTTAAAGGGAAAATGTCTATTTTTAAAAAATGGAGCCTAAATTAGAAAAAAAATATATTCTATGCTTTCACAGTTATATCAAAATGAATCCTATTGGGCTGGGGCTGTTGCTCAGTGGCAAAGCGCTTGCCTAGCATGTGTGAGGCAATGGGTTCGATTCTTAGCACCACATAACAAAAATAAACAAAGGAAATAAAGGCATTCTGTCCATCTATAACTACAAAAATATATTTTAAAAAAATGAATCCTATTGACATGTGTAACTAAAAACGAACTGATTTTTTTAAAAGTCTTTTGCACAAATTTTGCTTTAATATTTGCAAAACAAGGGTTGCTTAATCAAAAAGCTACCAACACAGAGGAAAAACACCACCATAATAAGATCTGCAGACCATCTCATAAAATGGCTGTCTTAGGAATAGAATCAAATCAACCACCGGAGGCAGCCATGTTAGGAAATGTAGGAATTACTCATAAAACTTCGATTCAGAAATTCCGCTAGAAGACAGAAAAGACCTTTTATAAAAGTCAAGCAACTAATGTTTTACAGATACTATGCACCCCCAAATCCAATTATCTGCACACTTTTTTTCTGGTACTTAACCCAGGGGTACTTTATCACTGAGCCACATTCACAACACCTTTTTTTTTTTAAACAAGGTTTTCAATTGGTTAGGGCCTCACTTAATTACTGAGGCTGGCCTTGAACATGTGCCAACATGCCTAGCATCCTTCCTACTTTTAAAAGTAGTATCTGAGTTTTAGAATAAAACAGGTTAGTAAACTCTCCCTATTATTTTATTGCTTTAAGATGCATGCCTGTAATCTCAGCAGCTTAGGATCAAAGCCAGTCTCGGCATGAGGGGTCAAGCAACTCAGTGAGACCCTGTCTCTAAATAAAATACAAAATAGGGCTGGGGATGTGGCTCAGTGGTTGTGTGCCCCTGAGTTCAATCCTCAGTATCCCTGCCCTTAAAAGAAAGAACTATAAGTATTCAAATTAAGGCATAAAATGATTTTTAAAAATCATATATATATATATATATATATATATTCTGCCAGGCACGGTGGCACACACCTGTAATCCCAGCAGTTTGGAAGGATGAAGCAGGAGGACTACGCATTCAAAGCTATTGTTAACAATTTATCGAGGACCTAAACAACTAATTTAGGGAGACCCTGTTTCTAAATGAAATATTTTAAAAAGGGCTGGGGATGTATCTCAGTGGTTAACCCCTAGGTTCAATCACTGGTACCCAAAGGGGGGAAAAATCACAAATGCCTATACCTTAAGATTTTTACACAGGGGCTAGAGGAGTTGTGGCTCAGAGAAAGAGCACTCACCTAGCATGCATGAGGCACTGGCTTTGATCCTCAGCACCACATAAAACTAAAATAAAGGTATTATGTCCACTTACAACTAAAAAATAAATGTTTAAAAAAAAGGTTTTTACACAGTAAAATTTACACATTGCTAATTTTCGTGACCATGGAGTAGGTCCTTTAAATGAGCTCTGAGGACAAGCAAGATAATAAATAAATAAATTTGACTTTAATAAAAGGCACTAAAAACAGTGAAATGAAGCCAATGAAGTGGTACACACCTATAATCTAAGCAGCTCAGCAGGCTGAGACAGGAGAATCTCATGTTCAAAGCCAACCTCAACAATTTAGCAAGTGAGACCCTCTCTCAAAATTTAAAAACAAAAAATTAAAAATATAAAAAACAAAAAGGGCTGAGGATGTAGCTCAGTGGTAAATTAAAATCCCCAGTACTCCTCCCTTCAAAAAAAAAGGGAGAAAGATAATCAAGAAAGGAAAAAGTATATAAATTATATATGAGATGAGAGTCTAATATTCAAAACAAAAAGAAAGGTTCTTTGGAAGTGATAGATAAATTTATGGCACTGATAGAACCTCCAAACATCAAATTATATACATTAACTATCTAAATGTTTTTGTATGTTAATCACACCTCAAGAGTGTTTATAAAGTCTTAGACCCAGAATATAAAAGAACTCATACAAATACAGCAATAAAAAGCAAAAAATCTATTTTCTAAATTGGTAAAGAAGAGCTGGTAATATAGATTAATGGTAGAGTGTTTACCTAGCTTACAGGTGGTCCTGTATGTGATCCCCAGCACCAGCACTTCCCCGCAAAATCAAAATGGGTAAAGGATCTGAATACACAGTTCTTCAAATAAGATATATAAATGGCCAAATATCACATGAAGTTCCTACTTCATTAATCACTAAGCAAATGCAAATCAAAAGCACTATAATAATATAATAATATAATATAATAATATAATAATACTTGAAAACACTAAAGTTGGGAAGGAGATAGATAAAATGCTAGTTGGAATATAATATGACACAGCCCTTAGCACTACATAAAATGTGTTAATCATAAGATAAAAATAATGATCTAACAATTCCTCTACAAGATATATGATACTAAAACACTAAACTTGTAGCACACTAATGTTCCCAAAGGGATAACACATAATAGGCAAAAAGCATTAATAATTAAATGCCTATTGGCTGAAGGATAAATAAATTGTCATTATATGATATTGCCTACACAATGGAATATTATTTTTTTTAGAGTGAGAGAGAGAGAGAGAGAGAGAGAATTTTTTAATATTTATTTTTTAGTTATCAGCGGACACAACATCTTTGTTTGTATGTGGTGCTGAGGATCGAACCTGGGCCGCATGCATGCCAGGCGAGCGCGCTACCGCTTGAGCCACATCCCCAGCCCCCACAATGGAATATTATTGACCCATAAAAAAGGAAATACTGAAACATGCTATGAGTTCACAAATGTACTTAATAATTAAATGCATTCTCTTAATTTAACACAATAAAAAAAAACTATCAACCAAATTATGTTAAGCCCAATATGGTATAACTACAAATACTCCACTATCAAAAAAATCTATACTTTTACCCTTATCAGTTCCTCAGAGTGAAAAAAAAAATCTCATTTCAGTTAAAAAACTTACAAAAATATCCTAATATTTCAATTTTTAGTCTAAATAAATCATGTATGAACTTTATTTCAAAAATGTTGGTTTGTGTCAGATACAATCACATATGCACAGGTACATTTATAAACTTCCTTACTGTATCCTCAACCCAGAAACCAACATTATAGAAAATTAACTAGTTCAGAAAAAAATGAAATTATAAAAATATTAAAATTTTTCTGAAATCAAAATCCAGAAATATATTGAAAAGTAAAAACTAATGGGATACCACAATTTATTATTATATCATTTCCTATAAAAATGTTTGATATACTTTATATTTTAAAATTCAATAAAGACCTCAGGAATTTTTAAACATTAGCTAACAGTAGATCCTTCCCATCTGCACTTCCCTAATATAGGAAGGATCAATGCCTCCAAAACAAAGAGAATTATGAAAAAGGAGAATTCTGGGCCAGTTAGTACTCAGAAATTGCTACAGAAAAGGGGTAATTTATATATACTACTTTTACCAGTTTCAGAGGATGTCATCGTCAGCACAATTACTCAAGTTCCATGCCATAAAAGTGGAGGGAAAGATAGTGCTGATCCATACAAAAGAAATAAGATTAAAATTTCATTGTCCTTTGTAATGATAGGGCAGCACTTATAATTCTCCCTGGAGAATTATGTAGCTCAGCAGTAGTGCACTTGCCTGGCATGTGAGGCACTAGAGTCAATTCTCAGCATCAAATATAAATAAATAAAATAAAGGTCTATCAACAACTAAAAAAAAAATTAAATAATAATTCTCCCTACAAATGGCTAAATAACAGCATAGTGACATATAAAAAATTTATAATGCTATCCATATTAAATGTGAAATTTGTTGGAAAACAAAAATGAACAATTAGAAGACAGTGGGTATGAGAGATAAAAATGTAATAAAACACTGATCAAATAGAAAAGGGAAATAAACTAAGCTAACAGCTTGCTTTGAACAGCAAGTTTTCCCTCAATCAAGCTTCCTTCATCTAAATCACCTGAAGAATTTGCACTCCTCCTTTTCAAAAAGCCCCAGCAAAGTGCTGAACAGATCAGAGACCTAAAAATCTTCAGATGCCTTGAAACAGGATGAGGTCTTTCCAAAGTGATCTGCCATATTGGGATGGTGAGTCGGAATCAAAGAGTACAAAATGGCAGGCCAGCCTACACAGTTTTTTATAAACAGTCAAAAGACTCAGAAGTTAAACCAAAATGTATCTGCAGCAACATCTTCCTACGAGCCAGCAAAAAATGATCAAATAATAAATACTGCCCACAATATTCTATTTTTCTAACTACTAAAAATAGAAAACTCCATAACAAAACTTTTCAAGCTAACTAGATTTGCCTTGTTAATTTCAACTGAAGAAAACCAGACATACTGCGTACCAAAGATAAAATGAAAAACATGATTAAATGAAGATAAGCACAAAGGAAAACAAAATCCTTAAAGGCAAAAAAGATTTTAAAAAGTAATGGTATATAATAATCCTATCATTTGGTTCATTATTCTTTCTCATCAAATTTTCACAGTAGTTCCAACTTCAAAAATTATCAAAAGCTTAATTTAAAAATTCTTCTGTAGGCAATAGTCTTGAGCAGTGATTCTAATCCCATGCACATCCCCAAACCAATAGGGCTCTCACCACTTTTCTGATCCTGTTTTATTCTCTTTTAACAAACACAACTGTAAGATCATAGGAGCCCAAGATGATTCAATGTTTGGCATGCTCCTGATTCCCCTACTTTAATAAAATTATCTCTTTGGTGGATAAAAAAATTGGACATCAGAAGTTTAAACTAATATACACTTGATGGTAGATGCAATTATTAAATTATCAAATCTCGAAAAGGAAGGGGATTGTGTAAGGGGTTACTGAATGCACTTTGAAATTAGACCATACAAAACAGTAAAAGAACAATCTACAAAAATTAAAAGGTGACTTTGAAAACAAATTTGACATCTCCACCAGTGATAGAGGCTGCCTCAAGCAGCACGTCAGGTACCTGGTGGATGCACATTTGATGTCCTATAGACCCTTACCACTCCAGTCTACTTCAGCACAGAAAAGGAGGGTCACAGGACAGCTGTGGAGACTGCAAATTCCTGACCTCTCCTTCATTTCACACTCCTTCATCCACCACACCCCTACCGTGGTACTGTGGGGAAAGGCCTGCTGCCAAGTCTTCTGAGTATGTGCAATCCTGCCTTCTTTCCCCCACCCTCCACTGCGACACAATAGGGAATGTGAGGTAAAACCGCAGCTGTTATAGCATCCAGGTGAAGGGGTGGCTTCTATCCTCTCCAAGCTGATGCTGCATAACCATGTTCTCAGCTACCAACCGCATGGCAGGTAGAAGCAGCTATCCTCCCCACTGCGCCTGCGCACCCCGCACCCTTCACTGCAGTACTTTGGGGAGGGGGCGGACACCTCACCCAACATTTCTCCTACTTCATCCAAGCACTTTCGAGAGCATATGGCTGAAATTTCAGCAGGGCAAAAATGAGAAATCAGGTGCAAACAGTGCCATACCTGCTGTGACATGATGAGGAGGGGGCGACCACCAGCCCCACCCTGCTGCGCCTGCGCAGACTATTGCCTCTGCAGCAGCGGCCATCTTTGGGAAAGTGCACAATGGCGGTGATGCAAAATATTACCCTCTTCCAATCCTGAGATAGCCTTTGAAAACTATATTATGATAAGTAAAAACAATGAAAAACAATGCCTCTGTGGCATCACCTCACACATCTGTCAGAAGATGCACAACACTAAATTGTGCACGCCATTTCCCTTTCTTACACATTAGCCACCTAAGTGAAGAAATCATAAAGGAATAAAATAGACAAAAAAAAAAACAAACTAAATTTCTGTAACTAGCACTTCATTGTAGGGGCACAGCAGCTTAAGAAAGCGAAAAGCACAATCATAAAAATCAAAATGCACAACAGCCAAAGATCATGTGAAAATTAATGTTCCTTCAAAGTCTCTACTTCTGTCTGCAACCATCCGTCCTCTCACCCCCTCCCCCTCCACACCAGAGGTCATTCTGCTGACCCACTCAGTCACTTCGGACACCCAGCAGGCCCTGCCATTACGGCCATACGCACCAACGAACGTTCCCCGCACTACCACTGCCACTGTGAGCACCCCAATGTCCCCCACTACATCCACCACCGCTTCCCCACTCTTCCCACTCACATCAGAAACCGTGGTGGCCTCAACAACAATATGGGCTCTCCAACTTACCCTCGAGCCCCCAGCCCTCCAATGGCCCTGCATTACCTGCTGAACTATAGCTGTACCATCTCCGTTACAAGCAAAATCAGACAAAATACTCCAGTGCCCCGTAGATACCTGCTGTACCTCCCCCACCAACTTCACCTCGGCATTACCCACTACCAGAACTACTCCGCGGTCACCCTGGCATAACCCCTAAACTGCACCAGGGTCCCCTCAGACAACCGCCCAAACTATGTGGCATTGAATTCCTTCCCTAAAACCACGGTAGTCCCCTCAGTATATCCACTTCCATCCGTGCTACAGTAACCTCGCCCTATCCCGTAAGCTAAATCACTCGGTACTATGGACCAGCGCGGCATGGTCATCTCCACATACCGTCCCCGAAACTCAGAGGCACTTGTATACCTTTCCTTCATGGCGCTGAACGGTGAGCCCCACCCCTGGTCATGGACACCTCAGCGGACCCTCAGCGGTCCTCGGTCACCCTCAGTATTCCCCCACAAGACCGCGGGCAACCCACTGTAACTGCCTCGTAATTGAAAGGTAAAGGTTCACCCACGAAAGGAACTGTCGCGGCATTACAGATGAGAGGATGCGGCAAAATGCCGCACGACACCAAAGAACAGAAGAGATAAATTCCAAGCCTCCAAAGGTGTCTATCTGGTTCTCCAAAACAAAGGGCTAAAGGCCCTGAAGTTCCTGTTTTGTACAGTACTCCATTTAGTAGACAACAAATGAAAGTTCCCCAAGATAACAGAAGCCACCAAAACTGCTGACCTTGCTCGCTCCATCGCGTCGCTGACCGCTCCTCAGACCGAGGAGCCAGGCATCTCCAGGGGCCGCTCTGCTCTGCGCAAGACTGCCGCAGCGCAGATTTACCGCACCTCCGGTCGGCGCATGCGCACCAATTCCCCCCAGTGCTGCACATGCGTGTCTATTTGCCGCAATGCAGAGGGTCCCATGTTCTCAAACCAGAATGACCCGAGTGCATTGGTTATTGGACCCCAATAATCCACATCTCTGATGCCTTAACTGAAGGACTTAAAAAACCACAAACATCTAAAATTAATGAATCTGTCTGCCTATTTTTGTTTGTTTATTTATTTTAATTTTAAGATTATAATATTAGGTATTTCTGCTTTTTTAAATTATTTTTTAGCTGTTATTGGACACATGCCTTTATTTTATTTATTTTTATGTAGTGCTAAGAATGGAACCCAGTGCCTCGCACATGCTAGGCGGGTGCTCTACCGCTGAGCCACAACCCCAGCCCAGGTATTTCTGCTTTTTAAAAATAGGTGTAAAGCTGTGAAGAAATAATCCTTGGTTTCAAAGAAGCCTTTGCAGATGTCACAAGCCAAATAATCCTGACTTACTGTCTTTATCAGGTTTTACTCTATGCAGTACACAAAACTGCTTCAGAAAAGTTAAATTAACCAAAACCACAGTCAACACAAATATGCCAGATTCCTGAAATACTATCCAGAAGAAAATATTCCTCTCTCTAAAAAGATGCTATGTTGTTCAAATCTAGCAAACTATTCCCCCTTTTTGAATTAATATTTCTTTTGTAAACTGTCAAAATTATTCCCCAAAATCAGAATGTAAACTCTTTAATACTAGGGGCTGGGATTGTGGCTCAGTGATTCTCAGCACCATGTAAAAAATCAATAAAATAAAGGACTACTGACCGAGGCTAGGGTTGCAGCTCAGTGGTTGCACACTTGCCTCGGATGCATGGAGCACTGGGTTCAATACTCCGCACCACATAAATAAATAAAATAAATGTATTGTGTCCATCTACAACTAAAAATTTTTTTAAATATTTATTTATTTTTTCTAATTGCAGTTGGATACAATACCTTTATTCCCTTCATTTATTTTTATGTAGTGCTGAGGATGGAACCCGGGGCCCCCGCGCATGCTAGGCAAGCTTTCTACTGCTGAGCCACAATTCATCCCAGCCTCACAACTTTAAAAAAAAATTAAGTCTATTGACAACTAAAAACAGAATTTTTTTTAATTAAAAAGAAAAAAAAAAAAAACCTCTTCAATACTATATGGAAGATCACTGGCTTCTCATTTGCACAAAAGGACCGTACTTAAAGTCTAAAATATAATAGTTTTCCTTGCCTATTAAATTTGGGAACATTTAATTTTTTACCAAAAATCAGTGATAGATGTAGTGAAGGAAAATAAGCACCAATGAACAAATATAAATAAAGTTTTTTACATTAATAATATCCTTTCTGCAGACTAATATGTTTGTGTTCCTTGGGAAAGGACAATGATAAAGATTAGAAAGCTAAGGAAATAACCCTAAAGCTACATTTGCATAATGTTTTACATATCTTTGCCCTTTCTCAGTTGTCCATTTCAAAGAATTTAGGGTGAAAGGAGACTAATGGGGATTAAGTGGCTAAAATTCCTTCCCTACCCGAATAAAATGCTGCTGACTTCCTAGTGATCATAGAATCAAACAGGTGTGCACAGATTTTCCCATAATAAGCTATGTAATGGTAATTAGAAAACAGGCTAAATAACTTCACATATATTTAAGCAATAAAATACATTATTGACACTACCAATAATGACATATTTAGTTAAATTATATAAAATTGTCAATATTCAAATGTTTTTGATCTCTAAAAATTTGCAATTTCTACTATTTCAATTTTACTTATTTGTATAAAGCAATGTGGAAAACTCACTCTTGGAAATGAATAGCAAAATGAATTGTATAAGGTTTTATGTAATCATGTTTATTTGCACATGAAAAAAATTATCAAAGAATACATGCAATTATGGTCTAAGTAATGAAAATCATACCTTTGGACTTCTGCTCTTTTGATTCAAATTCTAGCCTTGATTCTTGAAAACAACGTTAACTTGGGCAGGTTACTTAACTTTCTGTACATTGTTTTCCTTATCTGTAAAATTAGGGGGGAGGTACTTATATTATACAACATTTTGACAATTAGATAAGTTTACATGCATGTGTATTTAGGTCAAGTTCCAGTACAGACTCCAAGGACAGCAGATGGTTGTTAAAGTTGCACCAATATTCCAGTAGTACTTTTGGGATGAGAAATGGAAACATTTGTTGCTATTCATTAATGTCTCATGTTATTATTAACTAATATCTTTCAATTATTCCATTTTTTCCAAAGAATACACATAACAACAAACTAAACTCTTAGGGGTTTGAGCTTAAGGGTCACTAAAACTGAAACTATTGTGGAGATTTTCAAAAACTAATCTGATACCTTGACTTACATTAAATACAAAAATTAATTCAAAATGGATCAGACCTAAAAAGGGCAAAATATAAATAACTCAGAAAGAAACCAAAATATACAATTGCATGACCTTGAATTAGGCAATGGCTTCTTAGAAATAACACCTAAAGCCAAGCAAGTAAAAATATAAATTGGATTTTACCATAGTTTTATAGTATTTAATCACCATTACACAGTTACATTTGCTTCAAGGGATAAGATTAAGAAAGTAAAAGGCAAAATAGGAGAAAATATTTGCCAATAATAAAACTGATAAGAGTAAGTATAGCTAGAGAATATGCAAAGTAAAGACGCCCCCCTTATTTTCTTTAGTTGCCCAAATGATTTAAATAGATCATTCTAAAAAAAAAAGTATACCAATAGCCAATAAGCATATGAAAAGACACTCATTACCATTTGTCATTAGGGAAATACAAGTGAAAATTACAGTGAGAAGTCACTTAGGCAAATAATTTAAAAGATAATACAGGGACTGAGGAGGTAGCTTTGTTGGTAGAGCACACGGGAGACCTTGGGTTCAACCCTCAACTAAAAATCAAAAAAGACAATAAAGCTGAGTATGTAGCTCAGTGGTAGTGCATTTGCCTAACATGCATAAGGCTAAGTCAATAAGTGTTGAGAAGGATATGGGGAAATTGAAATCCTCAAAGATGCTTTCAGGAATGTAAAACAGTGTGGGCACTTTGGAAAACAGTTGTAAATGCCCAAAAATATTAGCCATTAAGTTACCATGATCCCTACTCCTTAGTATAGTACCAAATAAAAAGAAAAAAGAATCTAGGGGCTGGGGATATATCTCAGTTGGTAGAGTGCTTGCCTCTCATTCCCCATGTCTTGGGTTCAATTCCCAGCACCACCAAAAAAAAAGAAACAACCTATGCAAAAACACAAATGTGAATTATCATAGCAGATTTATGAATAATAATCAAAAGTGGGAATAACTCAAATGTCCACCAACTGATAAAAGGATAAACAAAATATGGCATGTTATGTACATCCATATAATGGGACATTGCTCAGCCACAAGAATAAATGAAGTAGTGACTGAAAATATTGTGCTAAGTGAAAAAACAGACCCAAATGCCTACATATTATATGATTCCATTTCTATTACGTGTTAAGAATATATGAATCCACATTGATGACAGATTAACGATTGTGGATAGATCAGGGAGCTGTGAATGTGCAGTGATTGCTAATGGTTGTAAGGTTTCTTTGGGGGATGAATTAGCTAGTAGGGACAGTTGGAAAATATTGTGCATACAGTAAAAGAAGCACTGACTTATGTAATTTTAAAGTGTGTATTTGGGGGTTGGGAACTTAGCTCAATGTAAACACTTACCTAGCAGGTACAAAGCCCTGAGTTCACTAACCAGCAGTACCAAAGGGGTGTGGGACACATTTTAGGCTATGTAAATTATAAATAAGCTTTTTAAAATCCTAATTGAGAAAGGTATTTGTAAACATGTAATTTCCAAAACAGTCTAGATCATCAAAATTCAAGTCTAAGAAATTGTCACAACCAAAAAGAATCAAGATACAAATATAAAATGCAATGTAACTTCCTGAATGTGAACCTAGAACAGAAAAAGAACATTCTACAGAAACTGAAGACATCTGAAAAAAGTACAAAGTTCAGTTAATAATAAGGTTTCGATATTGTTAAATTCATTGTAATAATACAAGAAGATTGTAAAAGGTAAATAGTGGGGGAAATGTGTGAGAGGCATATGGGTACTCTCTACTGTCTTGAAGTAATTCTGTAAATAGATGACTATTTTGAAATAAAAAGTTAATAAAGGAAAACAAAACAGAAACTGGGCATGGTGGTACATTTCTGTTTTTCTAGCAATTCAGGAGGCTCAGGCAGAAAGATTGCAACTTCGAGGCCAGACTCAGCAATTTACTGAAACCCTACTTCAGAATAAAAAATAAAAAGGACTGGGGATATAGCTCTATGAAAAAGAGATCCCAGGTCATTCTTCTTCTTCTTCTTCTTCTTCTTCTTATTATTATTATTATTATTATTATTATTATTATTATATTTTAAGATATTAAGATTTGAGGAAGGATTCAATCTCAGCATCAAAAAAAACAGAACAAAGGAAAAAAACATTGTGGACATGGGTTGGGAGGAAGAAGAACAAACCATGTACAGACAACAATGTTGGCATAATAATTCAGAGGGATTAAAATTCTCTTTAATAACAAAATTAAAGAATTCAGAAAAAGAAATTCATGATAATAAAGCTATAAAGCCTAAATAGTAGTGGATTCAGTGGTGCATGTCTAAGAAACCAGCTACCCAGGAAGCTAAAAGAGGAAGATTGCTAATTTGAGACCAGCCTTGATAATATAGTGAGATTGCATCTCAAAATTTATAAATAAATAAGTGAATAAATAAATAAGGCAGGGAATGTAGTTCAGTGTAGTAGAGTGTCCTTGGGTTCAATCTCCAGTATCTTAAAAAGGGGGGGGGGGGTTGAAATCTGCTTCTACATGCTCTACCACTATCTTTTTCATTTATTTATTGTACAAGCATGTAATTTGTCTACTATGCACCAGATACTTTGCTCTTCTAGATATTTAACATTAATCCAAAAACAAACATGTGAAT